CCCCGCGGGCTCTCCCCGGCGGCGGCGGGCGCGGGGCCCCGGCCCGGGCCGCCCCCTTCCCCTCGGGGCGCGGAGCGGGCCCCGCCGCCGCCCGCCGTGGATTTCGGGGACTCGCGCGAGGCGTTCCGCAGCAAGAGCAACGCGGAGCTGCTGCGGGGGCTGGTGGTGCTGGGGCTGTGCGCCGTGGAGCCGCTGGTGCAGCACAACCGGGAGGTGCGTGGAGGAAGGAGTCTGGCTTGCGGGGGCTGCTCCGGGGCGGGGCTTGTCCCTGTTCGAGGGGTCAGGGGCTCTGGACCCGCGGGGCTCTCGCTCAGGGCCGCCCGCTCCAGCTCTCCTGCTGGAGAGGGTTCTTGCTCCGAGGAGTTCCATTTTGGGACTGCGAGTCCCGGGATGGGGAGTGCCCGCTCCGGACGTGTCGGTGCGGGATGGGGGTTCATTCCAGGGGTGACTGCTCCAAATAGGGGGATCTTTCGTTCCGGGACAGTGTTCTGCAGGATGTTGGTACGTGCTAGGGATACTCTCACTCCGGGGGGTGCCGGTCCTGGACTGGGGGGGCTCTCATCCTAGGGATGCCCATTTCGGGACGTGTCATTCCCCTTCCAGGGGGACTCTGGGTCGGAGAGTGCGCGTGTTGGGGAGCTCTCGGACCCGGGCCGGCGGGGTGCTCCTTTTGGGGAATGCCAGTCCTGGGTCGTGGGGACTTTTCCTACGGGAGTGCCCGTGCGGGACGGGTGCTGACCCGCCGCTGTCCCGCAGCTGCTGCAGTTGTGCCAGCGGGTGCTGGGGCAGACGCTGTTCGAGCGGCTGATGAAGATGACGTTCTACGGGCAGTTCGTGGCCGGGGAGGACCAGGAGGCCATCAAGCCGCTGCTCCGGCGGAACCAGGCCTTCGGCGTGGGCGCCGTGCTGGATTACAGCGTGGAGGAGGACCTGGGCGACGGGCGGTGAGCGCGGGGCCGGGGCGGGCCCGGGCCGCGCTGCCATTGGCTGCGCCCGCCCAGCCCCCCGCTCCCATTGGCTGCGAGCCCGCCGCGTCACGGCCTCGCCCCCGCGGCACCGCCCGCGCCGCACATGGCGGGGCCGTGACCCGCGCGGTGCGGTGCCGAGCCCCGGCGGGGCCCGGTCGGGCCCCCGCCCCTCTGCAAGTGCTGGGTGCTGCCCCCCTGCCTGCTGCACCTCCTCTGTCCCCATCTATTCCCTTGCACACACCAGAGTGCAATCCGTCCCCGGCGGGGCTGTACACCCCGAACACTTCTGCACAGCCTGAGGGGGTTCCCACCTCTATTTTCCATCTCCTATGGGATACTAACCCCCCCCATTCCATCTTCCCTCTGTCAACCATCTCCTGTTTTCCCTAACCTCCTGGGGCTCTGTGTCCCCCTCCACACCCCTCTGCACACAGACAGACAACACACAGCGGTGCTGTCACACCTGAAGTCTCCCTTCCCCCTCCCCGCCATCGGTATGCTGCCCCTCATTCCTGCTCCCGGCTTTTCACACCATAGAAATGCTGCCTCACACATTTTGGTGGACTCAGTGATCTTGGAGCTCTTTCACAATTTTAACAATTCCATGATTTCATGATTTCCACCCTCCACCATTTCCATCTCTCTCAAGCTGGAGTGGTGCCTCCCTTCCCGCACTGCCTCCCAATCCCAGGCAGCCTGCACTGCCTCCCGCCCTCTGCCAAGAGCTGGCACCAGCCCAAAGCTGCCGGTAACTTTCCATTAATCGGGCTCCAGTTCCGGTCAGTTGCGCTCTCCGGATCGATGGGCCGCTGGCCGGCACCCCATCACGGGGGTGGGCGGTGTCCCCCCACCCGTGACAGGGGAGGCCCTTCCCGAGGACACTGGCTGAGGATGTGGCGTCCCCCGGGCAAGGCTGCACAGCGGCAGTCGCTGCTGGCTGCTGGGGACACCGTCCGGTTTTATATGCTTGTCACGCGGTGTCAAAAACACAGCGGGAACGGCTTTTTGGGATGGTTTGCGAGCAGGCTGCGAGTCACGCTGGTGTTCAGGTGCTGCCGCTGGGAGCCTTATCTCTGGTCCACACCCGGAAACCGCTTATCGGGGATCCCCATGTGCCATGGCTGGTGCCGCTGCCCCTCGCTGCTGCTGCCACTGCCGCTGTTGCATCTCCAGGGGTGGAGGGTCTGCGTGTCCGTGATGGGAGCAGACGCTGGCGAGGGCAGCGCGGGCACGAGGGCAGTGCGGGGGGAGGCACGGCTGCACCATCCCAGAGTGGGCTGCAAACTTTGGGGGTTTTCTAGAAAATCTTCAAAACACGCCGCTGCTTCCAAGCAAGGGGGTGGCTGTTTTGAAGGTGTGTAGCTAAGTCTTTCTCCCCTGGACACACAGCCGCAGTCTGGGCTGTGTTCAGCATTCCCGTGAGGCTGAGCCAGCAGCACTGGTTCTGCCAGGCTGTCACTGCTGCCCTGCATGCCTGGCTGTGCCTGGGCCGAGGGCTTTCCTGTGAGGGATCATAGAAGACTTTCAGACAGGTTCTGCCTGCAGCTGTATCCCTCCTGATGGTGGGTGCTGGTGGTTTGTGAGCTGGCTGGGCTGTGCTGCCAATTTGGGGTTTGCACATGTGGTACTCCTGGCTAGGTGCGCTCTGCCTGTGCTGCGTGGGCCATTCACGTCCAAGAGACTTCCCAAGGCATCCCTGCCCAAGCCCCAGTGGGATTTGCCTGGATATCAGGAAAAGGGTATTCACCCAGAGGATGGTCAGGCACTGAACAGGCTCTCCAGGGAGTGGTCATGGTCCCAAGGCTAAGGAGTGTTTGGACAGTTGAGCACAGGGTGAGATTGTTGTCCTCTCCAGAGCTAGGAGTGGAATTTGATGTCTTCATTCATCCCTTCCACTTCAGGATGTTCTAGAATTCTCTGAACAGGGACCAAGCCCAGGATGGGATTGGACGGGTTATGAATGGTGTCCCTTACCAACCATCACTCTGGGTTCTCCCTGGCTCTGTTTGGGGTAAAATCCAAATTCTCAGTGCTTCTGTCAGGGCTGGTGCTGAGTTGGGTTGCATGTGGTTGAGAGGGGTGGGAAGTCCTGGGTTCGTGGCTGCTGGACCCCAGAGCTGTGTTCTTCCCTTGGGTGAATGCTTTGGGATTGTGCTGCTGCCAGCCAGGAAGCAGTTACAAAGCACAGCAGGCAGTGGGTGTTTTGGCCTCTTGGTGCCATCTCCTGTTGTTCTTCTGGAGCAAGCCTGACATAACGGCAGGGAAATGCCCTCTCCCCCCCAGCAATGGGCTATGACATCTCTTCCACAGCCTTTCTAGATGGGAACAACAATGCAACATGGGCAAGAACCAGCTTATCCTGCCTGCCACAGGCCCCTGCCTGCCCTGCTCAGGCTGGCATCCAGGACTCTGCCAGCTTGTCCCAGGAGGCCTCAGCCACGTGCTGAAGGCTGCTGCCAGGTCATGGTGACACAGCTGGAAAATGTGTTCTCCAAGCAGCAGAGGTCTGGGGGCTTCAGCGTAGCTACAGCCCTGGGTGGGGATTGAGAGGTGGTACTGGACAGGGGCTCCTGGTACCTGTGGGGTGAAGCAGCAAGACCACCCCCCCCCCCCCATAGTGAAGGTGGTTGTAGCCTCCTGGCAGCCTTGGGGCCATTGCTGGCCCACAGGCATCCCAAGACTGCACATGGGTTGGGGTTGTGCTGACACAGGGGAGGGACAATCTGCCCCTAGCATTGTTAGATGCTCTTCAGGCTCTGCCATGCAGAGTATGGACCGGGCTTCCTCTAGAAATTCCTTGTGTGGATATCTGACACCTGGCCCAGGATGGGATCACTGTCCCCAGCCTGGGCAATACTGCTCCCAGAGCTGCTCCTCCCCTTCTCTTCCTGTTCCCAGCACTCATTCCCAGCTGCCCGCCCTGCCCTGTGCTTTGTCAGCATGCTGTCTGGGATCATGGGGCAGCTTCTGTTCAGCTTGAAGTTCTCCAAGGAGGTCCTGGGCTGGTGTGTTCTGACAGCTCCTGCATGGAGCAGGTTGAAGGTCTATTCTGCCAAGAGCTTTGCTTTATTCCTACCTGTGGGATTCTGAGCACCACCCATAGCTCCAAAATGGACTTCATGTAACCATGAGTCTTTTCCTTAGATGTAGTAATTCAAGGACAGCTTCTCCCTGATCCCTCATCCCCTTTGCCAGACCCATTTGCTGATGAGCAAAGCAAACACACTGTGCTGCTGGCACCCTCTGGGTAACCTGCAGGGCCAAAGGGATTATTTCTGACAGCGGGACCTTTGTGCTGCTCCTGAGCTGGTTTACTTAGCCTGATCCAAAACTTCCTGAAAGCCCCATCTACTATGTCAGCTGGCTTACCCTTCCCAGCCATCCAGCAAGTCCTCACAACCTGCTTTAGGCAAGTGTGAACTCCCAGGCCCTGAACTCAGCCTTGAGGTTGTTCCTGTCTGGATACAGCCTGCCAGGAGCGTCTGGACAGTGCCTGGAGATGGGACCTGCTCTGGGAGACTTGTTGTGGGTTTGTAGAAGGGATGATCAGGTATAAGCTGGGTTTAGTGGCACTTGGTGGGTGAGGGAATGGCTTTGCTGGCCAATGTTAATATTGCAAAGTGAGCAGCTGATATCCAGGACAAAGTTATTGCTTCAGCTGGAAGGATCTTCCTTTATTTTGCTTAATGCAGAAGAAGAACAAAGCAAGCGCCATGGCACTGCTTTGAATGCCCCCCTAGAGGATGAAGGAACAGCTGGTGCAGTCATGCAGCAGAAATGCTGCTGGGAATGGTGTGTTTATCTTCAGGAACACAAAACACTCTAACTCCAAGGGCAAAGTTTGCTATTTGATCTGTGTGTCTTCACTCCAGCCACTTGTTCCCGTACTTTAGATGTTGTGCCCACAGTGTGCCTTGGGCTCAGAGCTGTCCCCTGTCCACAGGACCCACGTCTCTGTGTGGCCTCATGTCACAGCAGTATTCAGCTGAAGCTGTCCCCCTATGCCATGCCACCTGCTCCAAAGAGAGTTTCCACCTAGCAAGGGCTTTGCTGAAAAATCCCATTTCTGAGTGTATGATCTCTCCTCCTTCCTTTCCTCCACCCTGTGTACTCAGGGTCAGAAAGGTGCTTTCTTTGTCCTCAGGTGAGTAACAGCAGGGAGCAGAGCCTGCTAGATATGGTGCATTCTGCTTCCCATGAGCTCCAGCTGCTCCTGCCCTGGCTCACGCCAGGCTTTCAGCGATGTGGGACTGGTCCTGGCTCCAGGGGGCCAAGGGAATGGCTCGTTTCCAGTTGCCATGCCCCAGCAGCCCCTAATCCCTGTCACAGGGTTTTCATATGGGACAACATGTCCTGGGACCCTGCCATGTGCCTCTCTGCTCTCCTGGCCAGCCTGCTGGCTCCGGATGGGTGGCTTTGCTGCTTCCCTCTCACCATGCTTCTTCCCCGTCAGGCATGGCCAGTTTGGGGACAGGGATGCCAGGGCAGAGGCCTTCTGCAGGGGATGGCTCTGCTGCCACCCAAGGCTGCTCTCCAGGGACCTGTTCCAGGTCAGACCCGGGTCTGCAGCTGGGTTTAGGGTGTCAGCAAGAAGACTTAGCTACTCAAGCTCAGGAAGGATCTCATGACTTGGCCAACATCTGCCAAGCTGTCAGAGCCCTGTTGTCTCCATGGCAGAGAGTTTGGGCTTAAAATGACATCTGAGGTCAGTTGGAGTTGAAAACAAGATGTTGTTTGTGAGTTGTTGACTAAAGCAATGACACAGAGGAGTGTGGGGCAGCAGGCACCCTCGGATTAGTGTGCTCAGGGTCTGGAGAAGCTCCATGCTTTGTGGTCTGGCTACTGGTGCCATCAAGGTGAGGAGGCAGTGGGTTGAGGCTTGGTGTCACCACAACAAGGACCATGAGCAGGTTAGAGATGGAGCCCCACCAGACCGACCTTGTCTTTGCCATGGGGTGGGCTTTTGGAGAGCAGCTCTGAACCTGGGGATGGAGCATCCTCACTGTGCTGCCTCAGGGCTCCCAGGACTTCCGTGGATGGATGGTGAAGCCCTGTTCCCTTCCACAGGTGGGTTTTGGGCAATTGAACTGCCAGCTGGATCCCATCGGTGATGGGATGGCAAGCAAACAGCAGGGTCCAGCAACAGGATGGCAACACAGGAGCCTCAGAGCTGTCCTGTCCATCAGCGTAGGGCTGCAGGGGGTTGCTGAACTGGCCCTTATCTTTCCTGTTTCTCTTCTTAGCTCCCGCACCTCTGCAGCCGAGAAGGAGATGGGAGGTGAGTGACAGGAGATAGCCTGGAGGTCTGGGCACAGCAGGCCTGGTGTTGTGGGGGAAGCACCCAGGTACCACAGCCTCAAAAAATGAGCTGGATGAAGAGCAGTGTGGTTCCTGACCCAGTCCTGACCCTCAGCGAACACTCAGCCTCTGCTTGGGCACAGAGCAAGCAGGGCCCATGTCAGCAGCGCTGGGGCTCTTCTGAGATCCAAGCCAGAGCCTCTCTCCCCTTCACCCCCACTGGGAGCTCCTGGGGAGGCCATAGGAGCTTGGTGGGGCATGGCCTATCTCCATCCTCTTCCACCCCAGGAGAAGAAAAAAGGGAGAAGCAATACCGAGCCCATCAGGGATTTGGGGATCACCATGGTGGAGTTACCGGAGCCCACACTTATTTCTACGCCGATGAGGCCAAGTGTGACCAACACATGGAGACTTTCCTCCGCTGTATTGATGCCTCAAGTGAGTGCTCCCGTGTCCTGGACAGCCTCACTGTGCTGGGGACTGCAAGGATCTCTCAGTCCCACCACCACCACATCTCTCTTGCCCAAGGACTAATGGTCAGGTTGACTCTGTCCTTGTGGTTCCATCCAGGTGGCAGCTCAGAGGACGGCTTCTCTGCCATCAAGCTGACAGCACTGGCCAGACCCCAATTCCTGGTGAGTGCCAGAACTGTGACAGAGTGTGGTGGGGCAGAGCCAGGGCCACAGATGATGCTTCTGCTGGGGCAGGTGCCAGGTGGCATCTCTAATAATGGCAGTGAGGAGTGGGCACCAAGAGCCTGTCCCCTGAGAGCCCAAGACCCCTGAAGACCCTGGCTCAGCTTTTGGGGCGACACAAAGAGCTTTAAAGGTGACATGAAGGTGGATGTGTGGGATCTATTCTACTTGTCTTGGCCAAGGTGCCCTGCTCTGGGGTCAGCATGTGCCCTGGGCTGGGTGTGGTCTTACAAAGCCCTTGCAGGACAGGAGGCTCCAGCCTGGGTGTCTCACCTGGAGCCTTGTCCCCACAGGTGCATTTCTCAGAGGTGCTGGTGAAGTGGCGGAGGTTCTTCCACCAAATGGCTGCACAGGAGGGCCAGGCTGGGCGGGCAGTGCTGGACACAAAGCTGGAGGTGGAGAAGCTGCAGGTGAAGCAGTGTGGCCTGCGGGAGGAGGCTGTGCTGCATTGCTGGAGGTGGCCATGGATACAGAGGTGCCAGAGCAGCCCCAAGCTGTGACACCTCAAGCAGACAGACCCCTGATGCTTCTTTTGGTGGCAGGAGGCACTGGCCAACCTCGGCATTGCGAGCAAGGCAGAGAGCCAGCAGTGGTTCACGGGCGAGAAGCTGGGCACGAGCGGGTAAGCTGCCTGGGGGACTCTGTCCCTGTCCCTGGGGCAGCAGCAAGGGGAGGTCTCCAAATGTCTGCTGTGGCTCAGCATAGTAATGGAATATAGGGGAAGTTTGGGTGGAGGTGACGAGACAGAACAGGGTGGCACATGTCATGTGTCTTTCCCGCTGGTGGGGGCTGGGAGCTGATAGAGAGCCCCCTGCCTTTGCAAGACACCAGCAAGGACCTGGCTCTCTGCTCCCAGCGCTGTGGACCTGCTAGACTGGAACAGCCTGTTTGACAGCCGCACCAAGCTCTCCAGGCCTCTGCTCATCCCCAATAGGAAGGTGGGTGCTCACCTTTGCTACCCCCAGAGGGTCCCACAGAGGGTTTGTGGGAGCAGGGCAAGGGTCTTATGCTCTTTCCAGTAAGTGCTGATGGCTGCAAATCTCAGCCATGCTGTGACAACAGTGTGCAACCACTGCTATCTGGTGGGGGCTGGGGGACTGGGGTGGGGCAGCAATCCTGGGGATGGGTTCCCTCCAGGGGTGTTTGTGTCCCCCATGGGCAGAGCTGGGTACAGACAGGGTGCCACAAAGCTGCTCTTGTTTCAGACTGGGCAGCTGGAGCCTCTGCTGTCATGCTTCAGTGAGGAGGAGGAGCTGCAGATGAAGAGGGTGCTGCAACGCATGGATGTCCTTGCAAAGGTGAGAGGGCCTCGGGGCTGGGGGAGTCACAGAGGGGGACACATGGAGCAGACAGCCCTGTGAACCCAACCTGCATGTCCTTCACCCCCCAGAGAGCCACGGAGAAGGGCGTGAGGCTGATGGTAGACGCGGAGCAGAGCTACTTCCAACCGGCCATCAGCCGCCTTACCACGGAGACGCAGCGCCGCTTCAACAGGAGCCAGCCCATCATCTACAACACCTACCAGTGCTACCTGAGGGTGAGGCTGCTGTGTCCCAGGGCACTGCTGTGGATGGATGGATGGAGACCTCATCTCCTGAAGCCATGGCAGTGCAATGGCACAGCTGCTGAGGCAGTCAGGGGTGGCACTGGAGCAGTGACCTCGTGCCATCTCTTCCACTTGGTCACAGGAGGCATACAACAACGTGACAGGGGACGTGGAGCTGTCGCGCCGAGAGGGCTGGCACTTCGGCGCCAAGCTGGTGCGTGGTGCCTACATGGAGCAGGAGAGGGAGAGGGCGGCTCAGATGGGCTACGAGGATCCCATCAACCCAACCTATGAGAAGACCAACGAGATGTACCACAGGTAGGGGACAGCCCCAGCCACACTGCTGCCTGTTGCCCCAGTGGGAAGAGGCCTCACCAGAGGCCCACCTTGCCTTCCAGGTGCCTGGACTATGTCCTGGAGGAGATCAAGCATAGCCGGAAAGCCAGCGTGATGGTGGCCTCTCACAATGAGGACACCGTGAAGTTCACCCTGCGCAGGTCAGTGCTGGGCAGGCAGCGTGGTGAGGCAGGGACAAGGGGCTTGAGGAATGTGGGGGCCCAGCAGAGATGCAGGGAGATGTGCTGTGGTTTGTCAGGTCCCCCCTGAGCTCACCTGGGGGGATCCTGGCTCCCACATGGCGCTCAGGGCTTTAGATGGGGCTTGGAGCTGAGGTGCAGCATGGTGGCTCCAGTGGCTGCAGAACTGGTCCCATCACCAGCCCAGAGGGTGTTTTAAAAACACATCCCTCAAGTGCTACATCCCAGCTTCCATCTGGGATATGGTCAGTGCCATGCTGTCCTACTTGGGGATAATCCCCAGCCCTCTGGTGGGGCACACTGCCCTGGTGACCTCTGCTGGGTCCACTCTCCCCTGGTGCTGAGGCTTGTTTTTCAGGATGATGGAGCTGGGGATCCATCCCTCGGACAAGAAGGTGTGCTTTGGGCAGCTGCTGGGCATGTGTGACCAGATCACCTTCCCCCTGGGTGAGTGACAGGAGTGGGGGGGCTTGGCCCCACTGAGACCCCTAAACAGCTGGGGAGGGAGGGAGGGAGGAAGGAAGGAAGGAAGACCTGTTATAGAACACTGACTGAGCACAGTGCCATGCCATGGAGAATGCTGGGTGGGGATTGGGGAAGATGTCGATGAGGATATAAATGAAGAGTCACATCTCTCTTCTGAGGTTCCATGAGCCTGTAGTGGCTGGGCAGGGATATTCCCACTTTGGAGTCAGAGGAGAGATTGGAGTGTCTCAGGGTGGGGCAGAGACTGGTCCTGGCAGACAGAAACTCTCTCCTGTACCTCCTCAGCCCGGGGATGTCCCTTGGTTCCATGGGAGGTGCACACAGAGTCCTGGGCTCTCTGCTCACAGGATGGCACCAGCCTCTTTGTGTGACCTTGTCCTCAGCCACCAGCTCAGGCAGTGGAGCAGCACTGCCAGAGGCCTGGACAGAGGGACACACGAGGGTCAAGGTACCCAGCCCCGATCAAGGACTGATCCCCCTGCCCACACCAGTGTCCAGAACAGAGTCCCAAGGCCAGCAGAGCAGCAGGAGGCAAACTGGGCAGTTGTCCAGCACAGATGCTGCTCTGTCCTGGAGTTCTCTTGGAAGCAGGGCTTGGCCGCCTGTCTGCAGCCTCATCCGGTCATGCTGGAAAAATGTGTTAACTTGATGTTTCTGGTTGAACGCTCCTTGAGCTGGCCCAGCCCCGGCTGCCGACATTCCCAGGGCTCCTGGTGACCTCGGCCCGCTCCCTCTGGCGCTTTCCCAAGCTCCCGGTGCTGAGCCGGGAGAGCCGCACTGCTGCCCCCCAGCCGGCTCCCTGTCCCAGCGCACAGCCTCCTGCACAACCATGGGGCATGGGAGGGCAGGGAGGAAGGGCAGGTGGCTTTCTTTTCTCCCCCCCCCCCCCCCCGGCTCTTTTTTTACTTGCCCCCCTGTTTTTTCTTCCCCTCTGTTCTTTCTTCACCCCTTTTATCCTCATCCCTTTTCCATCACCCTTTTTTTCCCTTCTTCTCCCTCTTTTTTCTCCCCCTTCCTCCCCTTTCCCCCCTCTTTTCCCCCTTGCCCCCTTTTTCCCCATTTGAAGTATGTTCCTCTTCTTTTCCCTCTTCACATTTTTTTCACTTTTTCCTCCTTTGTTTACCTTTTTTTTCCTTTTTTTTTTCCTTTTTGCACTTTTTTTTTTTTTCCTGGCAATTCCCTGAGCTGCAGCCTCTCTCCCTCAGGCCAGGCTGGCTTCCCTGTGTACAAGTACGTGCCCTACGGGCCGGTGAAGGAGGTGCTGCCATACCTGTCCCGCCGGGCCCAGGAGAACAGGGGCTTCATGCAGCGGGCGAACCGCGAGCGGGACCTGCTCTGGAAAGAGGTCAAGAGGCGCCTCCTCACAGGAAACCTCTTCAGCCACTAACCCCAGCCTCAGCCTGAGGCTCCTGCACCTTCAGCCTGAACCACTGTCCCCATTTCCCGTGCCAGTTCTGCCGCAGCTGCCCCAACCCCCTTTGCCCCAAGAGAGAAGTGTCCTTGTTGCTGTTGAACCACTCACACCTTCGGTGACCTCTGGGATGGCCCCAGCTGGCATTGCTCCAGGGATGTCACTCTGCCATCCCACGGCCTCTCGAGCTGTCCCAGGGGAGATACTGGGCTCTCCTGCCAGCCTGCCCTGTGCCTTGATGAACACTGTCCTGGTGGTTTTTCCCTGGCAGGATTCCACAGGGTGATTTATCCACTCGCCTTGTGCCCATGAGCTCAAGTCCAGGTGGGCTGGGTGACGTGGGGACGAGCTGTCCTCAGCCAGAAGCTCCTCCAGCCTCTGCCAGGGTTGGAGCTTTGCTTCCACCAGGCCTCTGAAGGCGCAGGATCAGCCCCTGTTGCCTGTCCCAGACCTGCCTGCTCACTGGCTTGCACTGACCAGAGCTGGGCAGGTCCAGGCTCTCCCCATCCCACTGGGATAAGCTGCCTGGGGTTGTCCATCCTCAGGCACACATCCAGTGGAGCAGGAGGGGGTGAGGGAAGTGGGCTGGCCCCATCCCTGTACCATTCCTGCCTGCAGTCCCTGGTTCTAACAATGGACCATGGCAGTGGGAGCACCAGGAGCTGGACCACAGCTTGTCTCTGCTGTACACTGGATTTGTAGAGAATGGAAATGATTAAATCACAACTGTTCCTGCTCCAGTCTCTCTCTCTCTCTCTCTCTGGTCTTGGGCAGCCACATGTCCCTCAGGCACTGCCGTGATCTCGAAGGGGGGTTAGTGCTGCATGCTTTGGCCTGAGCCAGAGCCTGGGGAAAGGAGTGAGGCCATACTTCTGGGACAGGGACTGGAGAAGCCGTGGAGCTTCCTGTGATGGGTTTGTGGGGGGAGCTGGGAGCCCTGGGCCATCCCCATACCTGCAGAAGAGAGGGTGGCAGCATGGGAGGTACCTGCTTTTGGGGGACATGCACCCAGCAGCCTTTCATGCCTCAAATTAGGGGCACGTGTTTTCCTGGGCTCTGCAGGACCACAGGCATCTCTGGTATTCCCTGTCTGGAGCTGTGGCAGTGTCTCTTTTTATCCAGGGTCAGCCCCTTTACTTGGTGAGCCATCCACACCAAAGGGGTGATGTTTCAGCTTTCCAGAGCTGGTTCATCTCCTGCCTTTTCTCTAGCTGAGACTCTTCTGCCTTAAAATAATAAACCTGGAGGGGAGCAGGGAGCCTTGCCTGGAGCATGGGACCAGAACAGCACTGGCTCAGGCAGCAGCTGGGCTCCTGGAATTTAAGGGAAGATGGGAGATGTTCTAGGCCCTGGGCTGCCTTCCAGCAGGATGCTGTGCCAGTGGCACAGAGTACCCTGCTGCCCCAGGGGCAGAGCTTGCTGCTGCTGCTGCAGCCCGGGCTGGCTGATGCAGGAGCACTGTGAGCTTCAGCAAAAACCCACAGTCATCTGTGTAGGAGGGCACGAGAAGCCCCTCTTGGCCTTCTTTTTTGCAGATAATCCCCTCCCCAGCCCTCTTCCTAGGACAGGACAGCTCTGTAGTGTGGGTCAGTGGTGTTGTGTGTGCGTCTGTTTGCAGGGTCTGTGGAGGGCTGCAGGTGCTGCCTCCTGAACACTCAAGGCACAGGATGCCCTTGAAACCCCCAGATCCCCAGTTCCTCACAACCTTTCCAGCTGAGAATGTCCTCAGCTGGAAAGGACCCACAAGGATCCAGCTTCTGGCCCTGCCAGATCCAGGGATCCAGCAAGCCCAACTCCTGGTCCTGCCCAGACCCCCAACAGCCCCACCCTGTCCATCCCTGGTGTCCAAAGGCTCCTGGAGCTCTGGCAGCCTCGGGGCTGTGCCCATTCCCTGGGCAGCCTGGGCAGTGCCCGGCACCTCTGGGGGAAGAACCTTTCCTCATCTCCCGCCTAACTGTCCCCTGGCATGGCTGTATCCATGCACAGCCAGAAGATAGCAACTGCCACTTTTATTTCTGGGTGCACTGACTCAACCAACCCTCCCATATCCCAGGCATTCCCCACACTGCTCAATTTTAGCTTTTGCCACTGTTTTCTGCTCATCCTGAAGGAAGAGGAGGCATGGAAAGGCAGTGTGTGTGTAGGACCCTGTGCTGCAGCCTTGCTGCTTGCAAGGCTGCTACTGCAGCAGTGGGGAGTTGGAAGGGGAAAGAGCCATATCCTTGCAGAAACCATCCTGACAGCCTGAGCACAGTGAGGATGGTGACAAGTACCTCATATTGTAGGTTCCACCGTGCCCCGCTGTGCAGTCCAGCCCACCGAAGCATTGACAAAACAGCACCTTTTTACTTAGCTTCACGTTCAGAAATATTATAGTGCTGGGGGTTCTTTCTTCTGTGGTGTTTTCCAAAACACAGAAAGACAGGAGACAGGCACCTGGCAGGGTCTAAAAAAGGAACTGCAAATAATAGTGTGATGGAAAGCACGGGCCAAGCTCCACATGGACAACAGCCTGGCTGGCACCAGTGGGAGTGGAGGGAGGGGTGGGTGCTACCTGTGGGACATGCAGTGCCCAGGCCCTGGCAGCACCAGCCAACCCAGAGCACTGTAAAACTTCCCTCCTCCTCTTCCCCACAGCATCCTCAGCTTCTCCAGCATCTTATGCCAACTGGCAGCATCTTCTGAGGGAGCAGCTTATCTCCCTGGCTGCAGCTCAGTCCCTGCCCTGCTGTGGGTTACACAGGTAGAAATGGAGCAGTTGAGCTGCACTGCCTGCTGGCCAAGAGAAAGAGAAGTTTATGGAAGCCAAAAAAACCATACAAAAATTGACATATCCTCACACTAAGCACCAGCACAGTGAAGGTGAGGCAGTGTGATCTGGCCCTGGCTCATTGTGACTGAGACAGCAGAGCACAAAGGGCTGCTCAGCACAATGCAGGGGAATGAAGCTGTGGAAACAGCCTGAGTGAGGCTACAGCTCAAGGTGGGCAGAACTGCCAGGGGTGCACCCCCACCAAACTCACATTTCTGCATAACTTTGGAGCTGACTCTCCCCATCCCACTTTCCTCAGCAGAACGGGATGCTGAGTCATCCCATGGAAGCAATTTGTGCCTCTATGGTCTCATATTCCTGCACCTGCGAGCAGAACGGGACAGGGGGACAGGGATGTGGAGGCAGGGGGAGATGGGCAAGGGATGCTGCTCCCTGGTGCTACTGCCAAACACATGGAATGAGCAAGGGAAAAAAGGAAGTGGGAGAGGCGCTGATACCCTAGGGTCACATTCCCACTTGGTAAGACCACCAGAGACTTTCTGTTGGGAGTCACCTGGAGAGTCTGAGCAGGAGAGAAGCCTTCACGTGCATCAGTATTGCTAATACTGAAGATCAAAAGAATCCACCAGATGTCTTCACTCTCTGCTTGGTGCTCAGAACTCCCTGATCCTCTCCAGAAGGATGCTACCCTACTCATGCCTACAGGGAGGGAGGCTCCCCATCCACAGGAGATCCCCGGATGTGTGTGGTGCTCAGAGGCAGCTCTTTGGGAGATGCACTGTCTGTACACCTTCCCCAGCTCTGTGCAAGCCATCAACATTCAGGAGACACGTGCAGCTGCCCAGCTGCATTTGCACTACCTTAAGGGAGATGGCCAAAATGTCCCCATCCACATTTCCCCCATACTGTTTTCAGGTGTCCTGGGAGCTCAAAGAACCTTGAGGCATCTCTTGCAAGTGACCATTAAGCTGAAAATCCAGCTGGCACAGGATGGTGGCCAAGAAAGCCCTGGCCCATTCAGTGCTGCTGCACTGTGAGACTGAGGATGTTTATTGACTGCCCCACCATGCTAGAGGTGTGGGACTTGTGCAGGTGTCTGGTGTCCCCCCTGATTCCCAGCTGTGTCCTTACAGTGGCTTAACCAGGGGCTGCTCTGAAGCCTTTCTGTCACTGTACAGGGTCCTTGGCTCTGCTGCTGCTGCAGGCACCATTTGGCTCCCATGAGTCCTGCATGGCTCCAACAGACTGGTCTAGGCTGCCAGACATATAGAGATGCCAGATCACTGGCATCTGGCACCTCCTGGATGTGCAGGACAGCTGGACACTGGGGCTGTCACACACCTGAGGCTACCAGACCTTTGGGGAAGCTGGATCCTGGGGCCATCTCCAGCATCTGGAGCTGCTGGATCCCTGGCTCAGGTGGATACTGGGGCTCTCGGGCTCCCGAAGGCCACCAGACTGCCAGGACAGACTGACCCTCGGGTCTTTGGGCACCCAGGACTGTGAGACCCCTGGAGCTACTGGAATCACAAGTCGGACAGATCTCAGGGCTGTTGTGTATCTCAAGCTGCCAGATCCCAGATACAGCCAGAGCCTGGGACTGCCAGACCGCCAGGATAGCCAAAACCCGGAGCTCACCCTGCACTGTCAAATCCCTGGAGCTGCTGGATGCCGGGATAGCCAGAACCCGGGGACCATCAGACTGCTGGGGACTCCCGGGGCTCTGAGGCTTCCAAACCGCCGTGCCAGCCGATCCCCGGTGCTATCGGTGCGCGGTTCCAGTGGCTCCACACCCCGAGCAACGGGACTCCCAGGACTCCCGGGAGCTGACGGACCCCCGGGCTGCGCCGGCAGCCAGCACTCCGCATCCTCCCCTTCCCCCTCGGGGACCCTCCCCGATTTCGGCGGCGCTGCCCATCCGGTGGAGCCTCTCGGGACCGTCGGGGCGGCGCTGCCCGGGGCCGGGGCGGCGGCGGCGGCGGCCCCCGGAGCCTGGCCCGCCGTCAGGGGAACCAATGCGGAATTTCCTGGCTGGCGGCGGAGCCCCTCCCGCCGCTGCAGAGAGGGGCGCGGGGGAGGCGGCGGCGGAGCGATCGCGGCGCGGCTTCCGCCCGCCGAGCGGCAGCGGAGCCCGGCGGGGGCCGGCGCGGGCGGGGAGCGGCGGAGCCGGGGCGGGGGCCCCGGGCGGGCCGTGCCGGGGCCGGCCGGGCCCCGTCGCTCCGCCGCTGATGGCGGCCCGCGGAGTGCGGCCGCCCCGCCGCGCCCGGGCCGGGGCCGCGCTGCTGCCGCTGCTGCTGCTGTCGGTGCTGAGCCGCGGAGCCGCCCAGGAGCTGAGCCCCCGCGGCAGGAACGTCTGCAGGGCCGGCGGGTAGGAGCGGGGGCGGGCAGGTGTGCGGGGCGGGACGAGACCCCCGGCGCCGCGCCGGGCCGCGGGCCGGGCCGGGCTCGTCGGGCCATCCCCCATCCCGGGCGGCCGCGGCGCTGGGCGCCTTCCAAGACAAAGTCCGTGCTGTGCGCGGCCGAGGCGGGGGGAGCCGGCGGCGGGGAGAGCCTGAGGAGCTGAGCCGAGCGGGGCAGGGACGCGGAGGCTGGTCCTGATCCCCGGCGGGCTCTGGGGAACCGGTCTTGGATGCCTCCGGAGCCAGCCCTGCATGCCCGGGGCCGGTTCTCTTGTAGGGAGCTGGGTTTGGGTGGCTCTGGGGATGGAATCCTGAAAGGGACGGAGTGTAATCCTCCATCCCTGGGGCAGGATCTGCGCTGGGGAGCCTGTCCGGGCTGTCTCCGGGGATCGAGTTGCCCTGCTGACCCTGGGCTGCTGGGATACAGGATGCTCTGGCTATCATGCTGGGGATTGTGGAGTTGGCAGCCCCAGGACCTTCGTGCTTGGCTTCAGAAAGTGGGTGCTGGCACTGCCTAGCTGTCCTGGAGATCATATCCTGCCTACCTAGCCGGGTGCAGGGTCTCAGGAGGTGGCACTGACTCCTCCCGGCTCCCAGTGTTCTCCGTGTCCCACAGGTCCCTTTGCAAGCATCACCTCGGCCGAGCTTCTCTGCAGCGCTCAGGCTCAGTCCGCCCAGGCTCCTGGGCCAGGCTGGCCCCGGCAAGAGGGGAGAGAGCCCACAGCCGCTGGATCCCCTGCGCTTGATGGGGGGGCAGGCCATAAATGCACCTTTACATCTCGCCTGTGAGGTTAGACGAGTCCACAAGGAAAACATGTGCTTCGAGCGAGAGGGGCCGCATAATGGCTCCATTCAGCAGGGCCACAGGGCGCTGGTGCCCCCTCCTCAAATTACAGGCGGAGTTTCCTAAGGAGGCATTTCATGAGCCAGAGCGGCCGCAGCTCCCACCGGAGCTGTTCCCTGACAGCCGGGAGCCGTCCCTCCTCGGCTGCCCGTCACCCGCACAGCAAAGCTGCCACCTCACCGTGCGGTGGCAGAGGGAACTTGAGTAGTGTCCCCAGCCTGTTCCTTGAGTGCTGCCCCTCGTGCTGGGGATGGGGTGTCTGCCTTCTTCCCCTCATCCCCACTGGATGAAGGCGGGGGATGTCCACAGGGCTCGGACTCCCTCGCTGTGCCACCCGTGGGTGCCATGGGCTGTGCAAGAGGCATTGGCTGTTGAGTGGGTTGGTTGTGTCCATCCTCTGGCAGGACTGGTGCCTCAGGACAGCCTAGGAGCTGGGGATGGTGGGGCAGGGACAGTCCCTAGGAAGCTCAGATGATGTTTGCATCATTTTCTATCCCTCACCCTTCTGCAAACCCTTCTTCCCTCTCCACCCACTCACCTGGCATCCACCCCCATCACTGCTGTGTACAATGGACATGGAGGACACCGCATATGTTACCATCCAAACCCACCCCAGCGGTCCCAAGGCCCTGGTGCTGCAGATCCTGGGGCCGGGGGCAGTGGGACTGGAGGTGGCCTTGGAAGGAGGTCCCTATGTCCTCCACCCAAGGCTGTTGGAGCTTGCTGGACCCTTACCTCTGCAAAGCCCATCCAGACATCCTGTGGAGATGCCACCATAGGTTTCAGAGGATCCAGGATTGTGTGACTTCTTAAGACCTGGCTCCCAAGTCGAGATTCGAGGAATAATTTAGGGCAGAAGAAAAGGGCACATCTGGGGCTCTTTGTGGTTTGTGTTCTAAATTCAACTTGTCCTTAAATTTGAAGTTCTTTTATATCTGGTTTCCCACTGGTATAATCAAAGGTGCCAGTGGTGACAACCTGGGCACTGCTTTGACTCTGTCCTGCTCTTTTGCTAACACTCTCTTTTCCAGTCTCTGGTCTTCAATTTTATTTCTCTGCCGAAAGGGTTTATATTTATGCCCATGATCCTATTCCTGCCTGCCCTGGGGATATCTGTGTCTGTCTGCACCCTGAGGCTGGGGTCAGGGAGCTGCAGCTGGCATCAGCTGAGGAGTGCCAGTGCCTGGGACCCAGGTGTCCCAGGAACACTGTGCCAGCTGGGTGGCACCAAGTGATGGGTGACACAGAGGAAGATTAGCACTGGGGTTATGCTTGGAAGGAGCAGCACTGAGAAAGGGGAGGGTGTCAATGCTTCTCTGAGCACCAGGAGTATGCTGGGTGTCCACAGGGCTCCTTTGCAGCTCCATCCACTGGGCTGAGCTGGGTGGTCTTACATGGTAGCACATGCAGCAGCTCACAGCTGAGCCCCAGAGTCTTATTCCTGCTTCCACGGGTATGAGCTTGCTCCTTATTGTTCAGGGCTGGCTGTGCTGGTCTGACTGAGGAGCCATCCCTCCTGCCTCAGAGACCTCTCTGTAGCCATTGGCAAAATGATTTCCAGGAGCAGCATAGGATACTAATCCACAAGAAAAATATTCTACCTCTGTGAGAAGCCTGGGATCATTAGCCAAGATCCCAGTGGTGCTCAGCATGAGCAGGACGTGGCTGTGGGTCAGCAGCAAGGCTAGCATGGAGGACTTGTCCCTGCAGGTGACAGCTCCAGCTCTGCACACAGCCCACTCCTTTTCCTTCACATCAGCTGAGGTCTCAAGCCCTGGCCACAGCTCAGAGGCACCTTTTCATTGTTTTTTTTTTTTGGTTGTTTTTTTTTTTTTTTTCCCCACCATTTATAGTGCTTTGAAGGAAAGAAAGTATTTGCAGAGTGGATGTTTGCAGTGCCATGTCCATGTGGGTCAGGAGCGAGCTTTTAAATAAATCTCTAAGTTATCCTTTTCCAGTGGTCAGGGGATACATGGAGCAAGCCCTTTGTCAAGGAGCTGAGGCCATGAAGCCCCTTTTAGTCCCCGACCCTGATGAGTGTTGGTGACCTGCAGCCAGCACTGACCCTCTGTGGGCTGGCTGTGCTGGGACCAATCCGTGTACCCCACTGGGAGCAGTGGTTTTCCAGTGTTACATCCTGGCTACCTCTCCTTGCCACAGGACCAAGTTTATTTGTTGTCAAAGCTGCTGATAAATGAGATGGGTACTGAGCAGGGTGTGGGAGGCCATTAGCAGGCACCAGGAGGGAGAGATTAGCTATCAGGGAATAGATAAACTAAATCCTGTGGGGTGGTGGGCTGGCTCCCAGTTGGGCTGGTTGTGGTTCCGCTCACCTCCTCCAGCTCATGACAGTTTTTCCCTCCTGCCACCACGTCCCAGTAACTTCCAGCTCCCCACCATCAGCTCATCACAATGGATACTTTTTGGCACATTTCCTGTGATGCCCGTTTTTGTGGCCAGGCTGGGCTGTTGGAGGCAGGTGTCCCAGGTAGAAGGGTTTCCTCTTACAAACCTGGGATGGTTTCATTCTGAAAGCCACCAAATCGAATTTCTAAAGGCTGGACTGGTGAAAGCAACCCCAGGTGCAACAGTGAGGCTTTGGTCATGCCATGGGAGGGCAAGAACACCATGGACCCTTCTCCACCTCTGCCTGAGTATCCTAGCACAGCTAGCAAAGCTTTTTGGGGGCACAGCCTGAGCCTCTTGCAAAGAAGGACCTTGTCTCCAGCCTGCCCAATTGTTGGGTGGATTTGGTGGTCGGCCCCCCTTTGCCATTAAGCCCCCTCTGGAGGAGCAGAGCCCCCCATTGAGCCCTGGGGTCCCTGTGGGGGGTGTTTGTGCCGCTGCCATCGCAGCATCTTGGGGCTGCTTCCACAGGCTGCAGAGATGGAACTATTTTGGGCTCTGGCTGCAAGGCATTTTTTCCAGGCCTTGAATAATTTTTGTGGTTCTTTTCTGCCTCCTTTCCAACTTCTCACTGCTGGCCACGACAGGGGGGCCACGGCGCTCCTGGCTGGGCCGGGGGTGCTGCCCTGCGGGCCGGGGGCAGCTGTGGCCCCAGGAGCCCGCTCTGGCCCAGGCGCCGCTGGCAGCTCCCGCCCCGATGGATGAGGTGGTCTGGCAGCCAGACGTGGTCCTGTGACTGCTCTGGGTTTCAAGCGAATACTTCCTCGCTGTCTCCTCCTCTTCTGCATTTGTTACATATAAAGAGGAAAAGGGAAAAAAAAAAAAAAAGAAAAAGCCAGATGCATTCCAGGCTGCACCGCCAGACCAGCCCGGGAGAAGTTTTCCTTGACTGCAGCATCTGCCTGGGCTGTCTGTGGCCCTCCAGCATTGCTCCCTCGCCTGTGGGACCAGGTGGTGTGGGTCACCCCAGGGAGGAGTGGGTGGCTCCAGGGATGAGCAGGGATTTCTGTGGGGTCATGGGGAATGTACTCCCCACCCCTAATTTCAGCATCATGAGCCCCCAAACATTTGCCTGGGGGGGTGTTCTTTGACAAAGTCTGGATGGGATGTCCCCACGTGTCACTTCCCAGCAGAGAGCTGAGCACCCCTGGCTGAGCCTCTGAGTAGGTCTGAGCCCCCATCCTGATCAAGCTTGTGCCAAAAATGTCCTGTCTGATGATCCTGTGCCTGGTAGTCCCTGGAGGTGGTGGCTCTCCAGGACTCTCAAGACCTCAGGGACACATTCCAGCTGCCTGCAGTTGGCCTCCTCCTGCTTCTACGTATGGGCATTCCCGGAGAGCTGGCTGTGTTCCAGCTATTCCAGCCAGGTGCTTCCAACCTGCCTTTGGGGCTCCACCCCAGACCACAAAGCACTAAGCCTGCAATTCAAACTATGTTTTCCCCTGGGACATTTAGAACCTTCCCTTTTTTCCCAGCTTTTTTTTTTTTTTTTTTTGGGGTGGGGCAGGGCTGCAGTCCTTTGCATTTTTTTTTATTGTGGAGGTTATGAACATGACTTTTGCTTTTTCATCACTCCTTATTGATAGGAAAAAACTGGTTCTGTTCTTACTCACCTTAATGGCTGGTGGGGCATCCATGGGATCCTCCAGCAGATCCATGAACTCTCTGCGTGCTGGGGGAGGAGCTAAGAGCTCTCCTTCCCCTTTGGAGGTGCAGAAATCCCCAGCAGGACCTCTCACCACCATGGCTTCAGTGCTCCTGGTGGGTTTTTGGGAAGTTCCAGGACTATCTGAGGGTTGTAACTATTTGTGATGCTTCTTTTTATTCCTGCAGCTCCTCAGTTCTCGTGTGCTGCCTGGGATGGAGGCAACAAGGGAGCGAGTGTTTAATAGGTAAACACCAGCATTTTGCTTCATTGGGCTATGCCCATCCTTCACTGAGCCTCACCACCACTCTCAGGGGCCACCCAAATGTGTCCTGTGGCTGGGAGGCCCTGTCCTGGGGACCTGCCTCACTGCAGTGGCCCAGGCCAGCACCATGTGGATGGAATGGGTGCTCAGCCCCAGGGTCAGGGCTCACAGAGACCAGCCAGTTCTGGGTCTGAGGACTTGGGGATGCTGCTCAGGGTCCTAAGGGACGGGGAAGTGTCCCCGAGGGTGAAGGTGCAGCTGCAGGGATGGGACTGAGATTCCCCACAGATGCTGCAGCCACGTGGGAACCCGGGCTAGAGCCAAAGCTGCCCAGACCAGGCACGTGGTCTCTCGTGGCCTCACTGGGAAGAGGCTGCCGAGGCTGCCAAAGACTGCTGCGCTTGGACTGGGACTGTAAAAGGTGTCATAGCTCTTTACTGGGGGCCACAGTGAGCCCAGCATGGATGCTCAGCATGAAACCCTGGGAGCATTGTCCCTGCATTGCCACCACAGTGAAGACAGCTGCTTTGGGCTCCCCCAGTCTCAGCTGGCCACAGGGCTCCTCACACCCCAGGAGAATTGGAGGTGGCACTTTGCAGTTGGGACCAAAGCCCACATAACCAACTAACCCACTGTGCATGAGCCCTGTAACCACTCGCTGCATGTGCTGGCAACGGGACGGGGCCTCTTTGGAAGGGAGAAGGACAGGATCTGGCAGGACAATGGGGGGAGGATGGTCCCACAGCAAGCTGTTCCCATCCCCTGCCTCCAAACCTGCTCTAACCTTTAGACTCACTGCTCCTAACCTGTGTAATCTGTCTATTTTAGGGGTTTCTATAATATCCATCAACATAGGTCTAACAACTCCCAGGTAAGGTGGCTGGGATGGGTGGTTGTCTCTCCCTGTCCCAGTGCCTAAGAAAGCTTGTCCAGGGTGGTGTGGGATCTGTAAGTGCTGCCTGGATCACATCCTGTGCTTGCCTGGCTCCAGGTGTCAGTGTCAGCATGAGGTCCCCTCAGCAGGAGAGGGGCTGGTGGCCACATGGGAGAGGCAGTGCCCACAACCCCTCTACTCCATGTCCCCTTCTCCCCTCTAGCAATGCGGAGGTGAGCAGGGACAGCACCACTGGGTACAGCCTCTGGTAGGAACATGGTTTGGCTGGGTGGCAGGAGGCTGGTGGAATTTTTCTGGAAAGGGGCCCATCCAGCCCAGGTGTCTGCTTGTCAGGATGGTCACAGTGCCACAGCTCAGCAGCACTCAGAGGGTCACTGCACAGCCCTTTTTCTGCTCTGGGGGGGCCTGGGGGGCTTTAGGGAGCTAGCACTGGTACTCATGCCTGCTGTCTGTCCATCTGTCCAGCTGTGTGCGAGGGGAACTTCACCTGTAAGGAGAACGAGGTTTGTGTCAGGCCCGGCGAGTGCCGCTGCCGCCACGGCTACTTCGGTGCCAACTGCGACACCAGTGAGTACTGGCGGGGCCTCTGTGTCCTCAGGGGGCACAGGGGTGCACCCGGCTCATCCTAGGGTGGCTTTCTAGAGCAGATCATTAGGGATGCAACTGTGAATGCTCTAGCTTTGCCCTTGCCTGTCCCCTGCCTCTGTTTCCCAGGGCATTGTCCCCTTGCCAGGGTCTCCTCTTAGATACAGTGCACTGGGGAGGGGAGGGGAAGGGAGGGGAAGGGAGGGG